CGCCCCCGGAGCCACTTTGTCCCGGCCCTGAGGAGGCGGAGAGGCTCGGTAGCGCGTGGTTACGCAGTTCGGCTTCGTAGAGCACCCAGCGCTCCCCGTGCACCCTGCGCAGAGCCGAGGAACTGGGCTCGGGGGTTTGCGTCCCAGCCGGCGGTGACCTCCCCGTCCCTCGCAGGAACAAATCTTTGTGGCTCACATTTTGTTCCGTGAAGTAGAAGCCGCCCGAGCGGGTTGCCTGGCTTATTCTCCGAATCCCAGCTCCTCTGTAGCTCCCTGTGTCCGACGGCCGTGGAACACCCCAGATCCCACCCCGATGCTCTCCCGACTGCTCCGACGCCAGCTGTTCCGTCTCCTCCCGTCCTCCCCCCCGGCTCTGCCTTTTCATTTATACCCTTTTTTATTTTTTTCCCTTGTAAAGGTGGAGGAGGAAGCAGCAGACAAGGATAACAAGAACTGCAGTAAGGACAATATGTGCAGCAAGGTAATTGGGCTGGAAGCAAACAGCGCCCGTGCTCTCTGAGCCCGTCTGGCGGCTCCGCTGCGGAGGTGGCGGCTCCTGCTTCCCTGCTCCGCTCCGGTTAGCGTAGGGCAGTGTCCTTCCATCGCCGCTCCTTCTTGGAGGGAGCTCGTGGGGCAAAATTCCCTGCTGCTGCTTCTCACGGGATAGAGATGGCTTTGTGCTTGGGGGCCTCTTCCCTGGCAGCAGCGACCCGACGTGCCCGTCTCCAGGACTCTGCCACTCTTTGGATGTCCTGGAATGTGACGCTGCGGCTGATGGCTGAGGTCGGAGCCCCGGCTCCCTGGAGGAGAGAGGGGGAGGGCGCAGCTGTGAAGGGGATGAGCGCTCTGGCTGTGCCCTTTTAAAGGACCAAAGAGCTGATCCTGCGAGCCGCTGGCTACTGGCGCGTGCTTTGGCCCTCTTGTTGTTCTGCAGTGGTGAGCAAAGCCCTTTAGGGACTGATGGACGCCGTTCACAGCGCTTCTTTGGCAGCAGGGAGCGAGCACACTTGTGTCGTAGCACCTCCCAAACGCGCCTCTGTCCCCCTGCCGCGCTCTGCCCGGCCGTTTGCCCATCCAGCCCGGACAGGATTTAAAGCTGAACCCTTCAGGTTGCGTCAGGATGTACCGGGAAGCGCCCGCGAATGTTCCTGCCTGTCTCCAGGCTGTCCCCTCGTGGGCTTCTATCCCAGC